CCCCTTTGTAAGATTTGTAACAAAAATTAATATGAATGGAGTTAATAGTTCTAATGGAGGGGTGGACCCAAGAGCCATATCAGTGCTAGCAAAATGGCAGAATTCATATAGCATCAAAGTTGTCCTGCAAGAGCTTCGGCGCCTAATGATGTCGAAAGAAAATATGAAACTCCCCCAACCGCCTGAAGGACAGTGTTACAGTAATTAATCAACAAGAAAAACCACAGGCCCTCCCCTCCCCCCCCCCATTCGATTTAAGCAGTCTTCATTTTCCACGGTAGTAAATTTTCTAGATACGTCTTGTAGACCTCAAAGTACTGGAAAGGAACCTCCATTCAAAGTCAGTTTATCTTAAGATACTGTAAATGATACTAATTTTTTGTCCATTTGAAATATATAAGTTGTGCTATAACAAATCATCCTGTCAAGTGTAACCACTGTCCATGTAGTTGAACTCCTGGGATCAAGAAAGTATATTTAAATTGATTCCTATCATAACTGGTGGGGCACATCTAACTCAACTGTGAAAAGACACATCACACAATCACCTTGCTGCTGATTACATGGCCTGGGGTCTCTGCCTTCTCCCCTTTCCCCTCCCCTCGCCTTCATCCCTGTCTCCCTGCAACAGCCCTCCAGTTTGGGGTGGCTTATTAGAATAGATGTGAAGGTTTCAGGTCGCAGCCTATGGGACTACTGCTGGGTGTGTGGGGTGCTTAAGTAATGCCCCCCATTCCAAGCCATCGTCCTTCCCCACTCTTCCACTGCCACCCTTGGCCGAAGCCTAGATTGTAATCCCCTCTGCTCCCCTCTGAAATTGGCCTTTGCTGAGGAATTCAGGGCTTTCCCCATATCTTCTCTCCCCACACCTGATCGAGGGGTGCTGCTTCTTCCTTCCTCCTCCCAAAGTCCCTTCCTGCACCGTCACCACCCCACACTGTCCATGACACTTCCTTGCTTTGGCCAGAAGCCATCAGGCAAGGCTGGAAAGAGTCTCTGACCTCCCTCATTTAGTTTTGTAACCACATTGATTTATTCTCCACCAGCCTGGGACATGAATATGGAGTCCTCAGCCCTGCCACCCTCTGCTGTCACCATCAGCTGATGCGTTGTTTTAGCTCAGGTTTTGATATGGTGACAAGAACAGTCACCAGGGTTACTCAGACCTGTCAGCTTGAAGTCTTTGATGGTTAAACTTGGAGAAAGGCCACAGGAAGACACCTGTAAGCACACACGATCCCTCTGAATGTTTTCTTTTCCTGTAATTGCTTTGCTTTTTAAAATGGAAGAAATTTTAAACAAACAGGGCTTTCATTTGGTCATCCTTGCAATCCATTTGGGTCTAGTTTGGAGTCTGACAACTGGAAC